ACTGTACGTCAAGTTCATACTACTTGAACAAAATACCCCTGAATACTGTACGTCAAGTTCATAGTACTTGAACAAAATACCCCTGAATACTGTACGTCAAGTTCATAGTACTTGAACAAAATACCCCTGAATACTGTACGTCAAGTTCGTAGTACTTGAACAAAATTCCCTGAATACTGTACGTCAAGTTCATACTACTTATAAATTATTGTACAGTTAGAACTTGAATTGTGAAATGTGCTCTTTAATGATAATTCAACCTTGCCCACTATAATGGACGTTTACGAAGTTTACTTGACTATAATTGATTTATCACCAGAATGAAAACTTTAAAAATGTTAAATGTTGATTTTGAACTTAATGAACTTAGACGGAAGTTTATTTAAACAATGATAAAACACCAAGTTTTAAACACGGAATTTTTTCTAATGATTTCGTTTTGATATATTATTTTGTTTATTTATTTGTTTTAGAGCAAAGCCACATCGGGTCAACGGATGTGTCCACCGCGGGGAATCGAACCCCGGATTTTAACTTTGTAAGTCTGCATATTTACCGCTGGTCAACCAGGGGACGCAGATTATTTTTTATTCAAAGATAAATATTTTTGAAGTGTAATATATATATATATATATATGTTTGCATTATAAATCAGTTTTAAATAATAATTATTATTGTTGATGAACGATGTAGTGAACCTTAGATAAGTTATCTATATACAATCGGTCTTTTGTGATGATAAAGAGACGATCAGATTTGGTGACGATTTTATTATTATTATTGTTTTTACTAATATGACCAGAGGTATCGACAATGTAGACCAATCGGTACATTTGGTTTTTTACGCAAGGGTAAGTTCTTGTTATACCAAAAGTTTATTTTCTTCTTTGCAGATTACAATAATTATCAGTTGAAACCCAAACTCAGTCCTTCTCTTGATTCTGGTGGTTTGTTTTTTGTTGTATCCTGTTCGTATGAGAGACGGTAGTCAGGGTTTTTACGCAATTTCGATTACAAGAGCACGAAGTACGAAAGAACCAGCTTAATGTATAGGCATCCGGTTTAATTTTAAGTAAGTGTAAGTTTCGAAAAAGTAACTCATGTTTTAAGTATTTAATTGTACCTGTTTGATTATTCAAAAAGAAGAATATGCATGAACGTTGGTTCTTCACACTGCACATGGTAAATATCAATTATTTATTAAAACTTCAGCATTTTACACATCGGATGACTGTAAATAATAACACAAAGTACATAACTCAGTTCGATTATTCACCTGTTTATATATTTTGTTCACAAAAGTCAATGTTCTATTAAAACAAGATTGAAATTTTAAATATGGTACAAAACTACATAAATAAGCAGGGTTAGAATTTGGCTCTTTTTATATCTCAGATATATAGATATATATATATATATCCTAAAAAGAAATTATTATTAAATGTTTATATATATATATGTAGGAATGTCATTGTGTAGAAAAAGAATTTTACAATCTAGTATGCTTCTAACCAAAATATAAATAATAAAACTTTATATATATATATTATGCTTGACAACTTGTAGTTTAAAATAATTTAAATATGTAAGCAAAAGTTTTGGCTATGGAAAAACATAAGAAGAAGAAGCATTGCAGATTTGACTGAACAAAGTTTCTTAGTTCCCTCTGACGTCATGTCCGATTTTCTGTAGGGTTGAAATTACCTAAAAAGAAATTTAAAAAATAAACTAACAAAAAAGCTATGGCACAGTAAGTTACTCAGAAAAAGTTTTAAATCCAGTAAGTAAATTTTAAAGTATGTCTTTATATGATTTGTTTGTTGTTAAACCTAAAGCTACACAATAGGCTACTTGACTTTTGTCTACCAAGGGTATCGAATCCCGACCTTTAGTATCCTTTTATCAGAATGAGCGTTTCGTTTCTTGTTCGTATATAACAAAACACGAAAGTATCGAACAACGAATGTCTGTAATCAATACATTTGTGTCCCCTTCTCGTACGAAAAAAGAAAGGAAAAAAACGCGCTTTTGGAAGAAACATTGCGTTAATAATCTAATATCACGCCTTCAAAAGGTTTCATTTGGGATTGCCTTAAAGAACATAGAGCGTGCAGGAATAATAAGTTTAGTTTGTCTTCATTCATGAACACTTCGCTGTCTTAATGATGGCTGTGGGAATTTTTCCTATCGATTATCTTCGCTACTTCAAAGTCTCTGAAGTAAAATTTGATTTATATGGTTGGTCTTTTTTGGAGCAGAAACTTCAAACGCATGCTTTATACATATTTGTATAATTGTTCCTTTTGGATAAGATTTTTCTTCCAATGTGGTTTATCGAGACCAAACAAATATATATCAAAACTCAATCAAACAGATGAGATCGGGCAGCACTATAACCTTATGCTGCTTACAGCAAGCTCATAGCATAATTCTATATCTGGCGAAAATGAAAACATAAGCCGATAAAGAAAACACGATATTGAAATAAAAATAATGTAGGAAATGATAGCTAGAGGAAACAAATATAGTCATAAATATAGAGTTAACCTGAACACTGTATAATAAATGTTAACCTGATGCTCCCTGAACACTGTATAATAAATGTTGCAGAATAAGGTGATTTTTCAAACCCAATGCTACTTGCGTCCATTTTAAACGCTACATTTGGAGCGTAAGTTTTACTAGTAACGAATGATACAATATTCTTGCATGTCTGATAATTAACTTTCTTCCCTTCTTTTATTTTTCGCTATAACCGACTGACAGACAAAGGTAAAATTTAGCAACTTGTTTTAAAGCGGAAACTAAAAATTAACTTCCAAATATATATGTTGCAACAATATCAGCTTTAAAAACACTAAACACCTAATTTGTGACTACGTCTCACCATCTATCTAGTTAGGGATTTTGTCGAAGAGTTTCATAGCTTAACACAGCAAAAAAAAAAGGTATGAATTCTTAAGTTTTTCAGGTTAGCTTAATTCGAACTTTCCTCAGCTCGAATAAGGTGATTAATTGAAATACGTAAAAAATATAGTTTAGTTGTAACCATTACCAGTTGTAACGATTTTGAACTAAGTTAACCTTGGTGGGTGACATTATTTATTGCAAAGATTTTGAGCTAAGCTAATTTTGATGGATGATTGGTTTGTTTTGGAATTTCGCGCAAAGTTCCACACGAGGGCTATCTGCGTTA